GGATGTGTTTAGGTGATGTGTATTGTTGTGCCTTTCTTTTGCTCTGGTATGAGAAGTTGTGGCTCTTGTTGGTTGTTGAGATCTGGTTGGGAGAAGAGTTTGCTGCTGTTTGTGGACTGATTTCCTTGGTTCATCTTATTGATGAATAATGCAAGTTTTATGCAATGACATTTATGGTGGTACCAGCTAATTGTCATGTTAGTGGTGGTTTGTTTTGATGGATGGTGTGCAAGTTTTAGCTTAATATTCCTTTTATTTGGTCCCTAAAGGATGAGAAGAAGAAGCAGTTGCCAAAGAAGTTTCTCAGGAGAACTAACGAGCTTGGAAAGATGGTTCCGAGGACACGTCAGACTCAAGTTCTAAGGCCTTGGTCGAAGGGTGTTTTTGTTACGCACATTGGAGCAAATTTGGTGTGTGACAGCATTGCAAATGGAGTGCCGATAATGGGGAGGCCATTGTTCGTAGATCATGGAATGAATGCATGGATGCTGGAGGAAGTTTGGGGCATTGGAATGAAAGTTTGAGGCTTGGTATTCACCAAGAATGAAGTTGTGAAGAGGTTGAAGGTGGTTTTTGGTGATGAAAAAGGAAAGAAAATGGGAGAGAATATGGAAGCCGTTAAAGAGATTGTAATGGAAGTTGTAGGGACATGATGGGAGTTCTACTCAAGATTTTAACACTTTGGTTGGGAAACTAAAATATCTCGAATAATGAAAATTAAATGATTGTTGGACGTGTTTAAAACTTTTATTGAATTATGTAATTGTGACATTGACGAGGGTTAAAGAGTGTTTTATGGTTATTTCATATAATTAATAATACATACAATTGATACAAGAAATTATCTCATATGGGTGGATGATCTCCATTTTTTATTTCAAGATTGATGTTGATGAAGATTAAACCACCACTAACCTTAGCCTTGTTGGTTGATCATCAACCTTAGACGACTTTGAATGGACGAGTAATTATACAATGAGATTTTGGATGAACTATATAAACTATAATAATGGATTGAAAAGACATCCAAGGGACTTGGCTAAGTGGTTCAAGAATTTCCTCAAGTAGTAGAAGAGGAAGCTCATGCTTCATATTATATGCTAGAACCATTTCTATGTGTCTAAGTTTAATAATCAAGTGAAGTTCATAAATGAGCAGGATTTGTTATCTTAATGAATTCCTATGTATATAAGCTGCAAAAATGAATAAAGTTCGACTTCTCTTGATATTCAAGCTGGGTTATAATTAAATGATGAGTACACATCTTCTCAATTCATTAAATATTTTCACCAACTTAATTACTATATTAACCAAATGATGTGTAATATTTATATATGAAGATGTGTGTGGCATAAAATTTATAATATTATCTTATTTATACCCAAATCTGAAACTTTAGATTATTGAGCTAACGTCAAATTAAAACTAGAAATTACAGGGCATATCAACTTAAAATGATGAGCTATAGCTGGACTTTGAGGTTTTTAGTAATTGAATGAGAAGATTATCTAATTACAAATGAGCAAGTAACGTATACAATAAATCTGAAAACTTGATTAACTGACCTAAGTTAAGAATAAAGTTAATTAATCAACTACCTTTTGCAAACTCAGCAAGCTCATCCAGATTACACCTACAACTTCTCAGTGACTTACAATGCTGAACTGTTGTGGAACTTATGACTCCAGTGATTTCTTTTAACTGCACTGCACTGCACTTCATCTAATTATATGTTATAATTAAACTCTCAATCTATAATACAATGTCAGATTGGATATTTATCCAGTCTTAAAGAAAAGTTTAAGGTCGGTTTCTAATTAGTATTTTAATGTTTGAAGATGTTTTTTATTTTAATTATCTAGTTTCTAGTTGTGTACTTTGGGAATTGCCAACTCTAATTGAGGGTTATACTAAGAATATGCCTTAAAAAAAATAAAAAAAATTGTAATACTTTGAACGTAGCATTCTTCTATTAAGAAATCATACAATTAGCCCTCATGGCTGTTGAAAAATATTGCCAAATACACAAAATAATTGAAGCAAAAAAGTAAGAAAGACAATCAAATTTACTCTGGTTCGTTCCCAATAAAGAAATTACATCCATCATTTAAGATAGAGAAGCTTTTATCGAGTTTCAGAAATCTACAGTAATATAATAATAATGATGACTGTTCACTCCTTCCCTCCTCTCACTCAATATCATTTCTTACATTAGGTTTTTTTTTCGCTGTTACAATACACATATAATAGCAAACCTAATCACATTGGGGCTAAACACCTCCAGGCCCAAATATTTACAAAAAAACAATTTCAAACCTAATTACTAATTGGGCTTCCCCTGAATGCATCAGTGTTAATTTATAAATTTGATATAACATGGAAAATGTTAACTTTTGTTCTTTCTACCCTCACGGTGTTGGATCTTTAGACTATAATAATTTGAATAAATTAAAAGATTTATTGATCTAGACAAGATAATTTTATGAATTCCATGAGATGGCCATCCATATATATATATATAACTACCATTTGTTTAATTGTTTATATTTGTGGACCAAATCTTACTTAGTTCCAATAAAATTTTAGTTTTGAGCAAGAATCTTTAGCATTATTACGATACATTTATCTCCATCACTAGATCTGGTTGCCACATGGTGAAAAAGAAAATGCAGTATAAAGTCCCACATATGGACAATAGAAAATAGTCCCCCATGCACTACATAAAATTAGAAAACAGATTCTTGCTCATAAAAGACTTTATTGCCTGTAATCTAGCTTATTGATGCATACATGAATACAATTAAACTAAACAAGTGGTAATTACGTATAAACAAAGTATGTCCATGGAAAGATACAGAAGATATCTAGTTGGCTAGAATCAAGAAATTTCTTTAAAAGACTTGTTTCTTTATTTTCTTAAAAAAAAAAAAAATATTAACAAACACCTAATGAAAAGTTCTTACAATATGTGAAGATTAAAAAGAAAAGAGCAAAAACTGGATCTGATTTGAATTGATTGAATTAAATTGAAAATAATCAAAAATCCCTCTTATATACAGAGGAGAGAAAACTCGAAGGAGAAGAGAATTAGTAAAGTAAAAATATAGTAGCTCATTTGAGCTCAAGTGTTTTAACTCAAAACTAACTCAAAACGACAGCATATTGGAAATTAACTGGGTGGCCTTTTATGTTTTCCCGAACTACAATCTGCACCCTTTGTATCATATGCTTAACATTTCCCCTCAAACTGGACTACTCTGCATTTGGTTGAAGCCTCTTGTTGTCTTCCAGCAACATACAACATCAACTTTATTTTTACACCTTCAGAAGTGTTTACACTCAGTACATCTTCAGAAACTCAGTATAGCTTCAGAACTGCACANAACCTCTGTCTGTGTTTGATTTTGGCATTGAAGAGGAAGACAAGATACTTGGAAAAGCATTTGGCCATATCCATTCACCGTACTGGAGTGAAGAACGCAAAAGAGAAATCCCCGAGTGTGAAACTGTTAACGAAATATTAGATTATCTGAGAAACCTAAGCCTCATGGATGATGATATCCGTAAACTGCTTAAAAAATTTCCTGAAGTTCTTGGATGTAATTTGGAACATGAGTTGAAGAACAATGTGCAGATCCTGGAAAAAGATTGGGGGATCGAAGGAAAAACATTACGGAACCTTCTTTTGCGAAATCCAAAAGTCTTAGGCTATAATGTTGACTGTAAAGGGGATTGTATGGCACAATGCACTCGATGATGGGTTCGGTTTTAGATCATTAGATGCCTTGATTTATTCAATTATAATTTTCTACACAAAGAGAGAGTTATCACTTAGTGAAGCATGATTACAACTTCAATTCATATTTAAGTTCAAAATATTTACATTATTTATTAACTCTATTATGTTATATTAGTGTAAAGAAATGGAAAGAAATTTTGACAGTAGATTGTATTGGTGAAGCTAGTTTAAGGGTGACTGTTTTCCACTATTTTTTAACCCTTGATATTGTTGATGTGTAATTTGGACACTAACGATCTCGCACACGCAAAAGTGCTAAGAGGGTCTTAGAAATTATACGTGATTGATTATAAGATTTGGTTAAAGGGCAAGGTAACATGTAAAGACTTAATAATAAATGAGACAAAGAGAATATGCAAAGACTTAATAATAAATGAGAAGAAGAGAATTTTAATAGTTTGGATGTTTAAAGCGATTCCTACATCTACTGTTATCTTTTATATGAGTGTTCTTGGTGATTAACCAAGGTTACAAGAGATTGCGAACAATGAATATAATTATAAGAGCTTGATATTCAGAGAGAATATTAAGTTAGTCTCTTTCTCGTAGGTTGTCTTTGCTATTTGTTTTTGTAAATTCAGAGAGTCTAATCTTGATTTTGTGAGGAGAAGTTATCTATTTATAGCTGTTAAGTTCAAGGTAATGATTACAAGTCTGCAAGTGGATAGGTGTCATCCAAGTCCTTCCTTGTATCTCATTAGTTGATAACTTAAGAAATATCCTTAAATTATATGGGGTTTGGAGAGGTGTGCGAACCAAATTCATTCACAGACAAAACTTGAATAAGCTAGGTTGGTGACAACTATATCTTCCTGTTTTGTGGCGATGTGATAGATTCTAGATTCAATCAACATTATCTTGATTTTTTTAGGTATACTAGATATGTCAACTTAAAAGATGTCAATCACCTTTACTTAAGTCAATCAACATTATCAAGTAACAATACGTGGACCAAATAATCACCCAAAAGTCATGGATGATAAACCATATAATGTGACAATAGTTGAATACATCACTCTCTCTAATCATTACAGATAATATTAGTGCTAAATCACGTTTATAATCTGATCATTAATCAGCCCTAAAACTTTGCAAAAAAGTAGAGCTTGAATTGAGAAGTTTGTTGAACATTACATCAAAACTCTCATACATTAATTCAAGCTATCACTTAAATAAGTATATATATTAGGGTACTTCAAATTGAAAAATTACAACCCAAAATCTCTCTCCCTCTCTCTCTCTCTCTCTCTCTCTCTCTCTCTTTTAACAACTAAAATTTTCTTGCTCCTTTTCCCAAGAAAATTGCAAATGTTTAGCTCCAAAACAACTCTTGTTTTGATAATCTTTTGCTTTGTTTTAGTACAAGAGGTAAGTGTTTTTATGAATATTAATTAATTTATTCATTTCAATTATTTATTTGTGTAGTTTTTTTTTTTTTGTTTTTTGTTTTTTTTTTAAACTAATGGTTCTTCCCCCAGTTGCTGATCATGGATTGAGATTGAAATTATCTTCAAGATTAATCTAACTAATTATATATTAACAAAACTATGATATAGTAATTGTAACAATTGTTTTAATTTGTTATTCAATTTCCTTTTAATTTTCAGAGTTTCTATAACTTTCTGGTTTTGCCTTTAAATATTCTAGCGGAAGTCATTTGAATTTCTCTGTATTAATTCTCAGTAATTCTCTTTCTTTTTTTTTTTTTGACAAAAAATGTGCAGCTGGAGATGCATATGGTTGAAGCTGAAAAAATAGGTATTGCCACAATAATTATTTTTGTGTGTGTATATCTAATTATCAAAAATCCATTTTTGCTAATGAAGTATTATCTTATTAGTCTAGCTATTAGATGGATGGATGATAAAAAGTTAATGACTTATATTGGATACTTTTTGTTTTCTTTTCCTTTTTACTATAATTATTTTTATTTTTCTCGACTTAAACGGCTCAAGAAGGAAGTGCTTAACAAAGTAATGGACCTTTACACCGATTAATTATATATAAACGGTATTCAATTTATTCCATCTTTATGTTAATGGAAATTGGGTTACATGAGGTGTGTAATAATAAATTAAAAAAAGAGCATATAACTAAGTCTATTAATGTGAAAAAAAAAAAAAAAAAACTAATAACTAGATACAAAATTATACAAACGCATAAGACTTTTAGATATCAATCTGATTTTTGTATCAATTAACCCTAAATTGGCATTTAATTTATTCTATTTTTCTTTCTTAAAATAGGGTTACACCAAGTATGTAATATTAACAGGAAAGAAAAGACACATAACTAGGTTATATAATGAGGAAAAACAAAATTAATTACTAGGTACAAATTTATACAACGCATAAGAGGTTTAGAGATCAATTCAATTTTCTACCAATTAACCTTAAACGAGTTTTTAATTTATTTGATTTTATGTACTCAGAAAAGGGTTACTCAAAGTATATAATTAATAATAATTAATCAAACATAATTATGAGGATTTTTGACCCAGTGAAATATTTTGTTTTATTTTCAGACTGCAAATCAAAATGCAATTACAGATGCAGCAAAGCTTCGAGGCATAAAATGTGCATAAGGGCTTGCAACACTTGCTGTAAAAGATGCAATTGTGTGCCTCCTGGAACTTCTGGAAACACTAATGTCTGCCCTTGCTATGCCACCATGACCACTCATGGTGGCAGGCTCAAGTGCCCTTAGTTAAATTCTGAAAAAATTATGAAGGGGACATGATCTTTTAATTTAAATCTCCGTTCGTTCATCTTGATCTAGTAATTGACTTTTAAGTTGAAACTCATGATCAGTTTTCTGTATCTTTGAATCGAACTTTTAAGTATAAAGTTTAAGTGAAAAGATCCCAACCCGATTAGATTTGTATAAAAAAATTTAGTAGAAAAATAAGGTTTGGAGAGCTTGATAATTTATGTATGTCCTCTTCTTCACAAATTCTCTGTAGTTGGTCTCTTAGCTAGCTTGATGTTTAAACCATTTTGAGTTGGTATGAAGTACTATTCTATATATATGGTTAAGTATGAAAATTTAATAGTTTTAGCAATTGAGAATTAAAATTTTATTATTAATCACTATTGCTTGATAGATTTCCAATTTCTTCCCCATGTTTTCTCTACAGAATTCTCTCTCACTTTCTCACTAAACAAACAGGTTCAAAAAAATATTGCTTGTCTTAATTTATCCAATAATTTGCAATTATTCCATATAATCTATATCTTATAATACAATAAAAAACTTTTATTTAACAATAAACTTAAAAGTAAAATAAAGGTAATTTTTTTTTTTTTTTAATATAACAATCAAAACATTGAATCTGTGAATCATATATCAATCTTATTTATTACATAAAAATTAAAGGGGAAAAATTACAATACCAGAACTACAAAACAAACCCTAATGTTTATATTTTAAAATAAATAATAATAATAATAATAATAATAATAATAATGATAGTAAAATAAAATAAATAAAAAAGCGAATAGTCCGCACATGAGTAATTTCAATGATCTCGAAAGGTTTATACAATCTGTCTCATGTGCAAACATCAACATATTTTTAAAATACGGACCTTGTTTATCAACAATAATTGACGTTTAACTAATGTCGACTAATACTAAAAGACAAAAATTTAATCAAAATCTTTTATATCTAAAACTTTGAGACTAAAAATTTTAAAAAGGTTGCACATTGAATGACTTTAAGAGCAAGAGAGGAAGAATGAAGACGAGCTGACAAATGTCTGTCTGATTAACTGAATTAGTTACAAGAAGGCGGCCAATTTATACTTAGCCGTATTTAACCTTCTAGTTTTAAACCTAAGTTTTAACCTTCTAGTTTTAATCTTTACAAAATACACCCCATATGAGTAACAACTATATATTCTAAAGGATTACAAACATATCCCATTACACTAATATGCTCATTTAAACTGAACTATGTAACAATCTACCAATAGACCTGGCAAAACGGGCGGGTAGACCAGGTACGGTTTAGGTCCAAAACGGATAAGGGTCTAAAACAGGTCGATTTAAACGAGTCTAAAATATTAGACTCGTACCCTACCTATACGGGTATAGGTGGACCCGCGGGTGCCCATACTGTTCACTTTAGTTTTCAATTTTTACAATTAAACCCTTACAATTTATACATTTTTCAGTTTTTACAATCATAACCCTTTCACCCAAACAACCTCTATCCAACCCACCAAACAGCTTCTCATCTATTCACCAAACAGCCCCATCCTACCAACCAAACAACCCCCTCATTGTCCCCAACATACTCCAAGAACTCCATTCGATTTCAAGCTTTCAACATCATCACTCACTACTGCCATCAACCGCCATTTCAACCACCATCATCATTCCCTATCCCTCAAACACTTCAAATTAAATAGCAAGAAACCCAAATAAAGAATAATCTCAAAATCAAAGCCAACATCAAATCATCAACAAAATAACCAAATACACAAACCCCATACCAACACCACCACCGTCATAATCATCATCCACCATCCCCTTTGAATTTAACAAATGTGTACATAATCTGCTAATTGGGATGACTTTTTCTGTTTAAAAATTAGAATACCCCTCATTTTGATAGTGTCCAAATAGGCAAATATTTACTGAATAACGATATAATAAACAAATATAAAAAATTGCTACTGTTTATAGGACTCAGACAGTAGACCTAAGGTAAATACAATTACTTATCTAACTAATTTTATATTAACAAAACTATGCTTAATTAGTTGTTGTTTAAGTAATTTGTTATTGTTTTCTCAATTAATTTCCTTTTAATTGTCTGAGTTTTTTTTATTTTTTATAAATTTTTGGTTTTGCTTCTAATTATTGTAGTAGAAGTCATTTTAATTTCTCTGTATCGATTCTCAGTAATTCTCTCTCTTTTTCTTTTCCTTTTTACTATAATTAGTTCCAATTTTCTTAATGGGTATTCAGTTTATTGACCTTTTCATTTGAAAAAGGTTTACGCAAGGCGTAAATCATCCTATTTAATTGGTGGCTTGAAGTGAGCAGTGTTGTCTCATGAATTAAGTACTTATTTTAGCTTGTAAATATGAAAATTGATCTCACTTGATCTACTTGCAGCCTGATATTGCTACAGTTTTCCCAAATAATGCTCTCTCGAACGTGAACTTGTCCAGCGGACTCCCACCAAAACATTTCTTTGGGGTGCGTAGCTCCAAAACTTATCATAAGAAATGGGTGATATATTCAACCACACAAGCCGGAGTATAACTTTAAACGATGGGAGAGAGGAAAAAATGGGAAGCACGCAGAAACCTCCGTCTGTGTTTGATTTTGCGTTGAGGAGGAAGACAAGATACTTGGAAAAGCATTTGGCCATATCCATTCACGTAAGTGTGAAACTGTAAATGAAATATTAGATACTGAGGAACCGAAGCCTACGGATGATGATATCCGTAAACTGCTTAAAAAATATCCTGAAGTTCTTGGATGTAGTATGGAACATGAGTTGAAGAACAAGTGCAAATCCTGGAAAAAGATTGGGAAATCGAAGGAAAAACTTTACGGAACCTTCTTTTGCGAAATCCAAAAGTCTTAGGCTATAATGTGATGTAAAGGAGATTGTATGGCGCAATGCACTCGATGCTGGGTTCGGTTTTAGATCATAGATGGCTTGATTTCTTCAGTTATAATTTTCTACACAAAGAGAGAATTATCACTTAGTGAAGCATTATACAATCAATTCATATGTAAGTTCAAAATATTTACAATATTTATAACTCATTAAGTTATATTAGTGTAAGGAAATGGAAAGAAATGTTAACGTTAGATTGTATAGGTGAAGCAAGTTTAAGGATGTTGGTTTCTCCTAATCTGTAACCCTAAATATGTTTAAAGTTTCTTATAGATTTTGTACTTAAAACTTTATATTCATATTCTCAAATACTTAAAAAGTAACTCATAGTTTATACTATTTTTGGTTGGGAGAAAGTGTTGTAGCTCTGCTGAAGAATTTTCAGTATCGTTGTGATAATGTTATTATTTGAATTAAGAGAAAGTCGTATGACGGTGGTTCATTAGTCGTATCATTAGTCAACACGATGTATGTTACACAAGTTTTAAATTTAATAAATATCAATCAGATTAATTGCGAAGATAGCCGAAGAGAAAAAACGTATCATAAAGTCACTAGTTTTTAGTATAACTGATAAGATACCTTGGTAGCATTTTCTTTTCTCCAAATATCATTATCAAGTTACAAAGGATTAATGGGTGTGAAAATTGTGGTATTTGGTTATGTGTCCAAGATTTGTGTATGCCAACGTTAATTACAAAACTATTTCCAGCTATTTCGCAGTTGGGGTTGAAATTAAGGACTCTAGAATAATTTTCATTTTTCAGTTGTTTCATCAATAAAATGAAACATACATAAATTTCATTTTGAACGTGAAACTTTTATTTGTTAAGTTTATTTGCACCCATGCATTTCATCTTTAAATTGATGTATTATTGTCCAAAAATATTACATGGACTATTTTCATGGCTTCCAATCATGCATTATATCCGTCAAGATAAAAATTATAGATAGAATGGTTTACCAATAAAATTTCTTTGTGATGGATTTAGGGTTCTACCAGAAGTCTCGATATTGACTTTCTCATACTTAAAAACTAATTGTAATGCCAAATTAAACACTAATGTCAGCATCACAATAAAGCTCAAACAGCTCAAAGACAAAGTGGTATTAACTATTAAAACTCAAACTGTCTCAAAAAGATATTATATAATACATATCCCACTTCTATCAAAATAAAAGATCATGACGAATGAAAACTCTCTATATATTAAAACAACTTGCAAAAATACTCATTACGTTGAGCTCAAAGGTGTATAAATTAGCGGCTCTCTTCATGAGATAAAGAGGTGGGTATATGTGAGCTAGGCATACCCTCGAGCTTCAACCATTATTTTCTTTAAAAAAAAACATTACTCCATCTGTGTACGTCAAATGCGATATCAGATAAAAGCCAAGAGAGAATAATAAAATCACAATGGATGTAAGAATTGTTTTAAGTATCCGAACCACTTATAAAAATATCTGTTGTCAATCTTTATTTATGTTTCTTCAAAATATATAATCTGAGCACCATAATCAACTCTCATAATCAATCACGGTAATTTCTCAAATCTTCTTAGTACTTTACACGTACAAAGTCGTTGGTATCAAAATCAAGCATCAATACTAATTAATCATAAAATTTTCTACTAAATATTGAAGTATTTTTTTGGATTTAATGTGATTCCATAAGTTTCAACATTTCTGTTTCATTAAATTCATACTAGCTCCATTTAATAGCTTCCTATATAAATAAACAGGCAATAGAATTTTATCTCACCCTCAAGTGTGGCTAAATTATAGTAAGTATTCCTACAAATTAATTCCTTTAAAGGTTTTTTTTTTTTTTTTAATTCCAAAATCCTCCCACCCGCTTTGCAAACTTAAGTTTGAAACTGGAGCCTATGTGGAATCCTCATAAATTAAACGTTAATTTTTTTTCTCTTTTTTAATAATTCAAAAATCCCAGTTCCCCAATTGAGCTCAAAATTGTAGGGTTTGACGGGTCTCTAGTTTTGAATTTTTTCCTACATGGTCAAAGACAATTGTTTCTCGCTTTTCAATATTATAAAGTATATACATTTTCCATTTTATTGTTCGATGAGAAGACTCAAACCCTAGACCTTATAAGAATAAATTACAAACCTGATCACTCTAATTAACTTTTTCCTGGTTGATCAAATTAACTTCGTGAGTTAATGATAACTCTATTATTTATAATTCCAAATAAGGTAAAAGTTCATCTAGACTTATGTCAACTTAGAAATGTCAATCAACTTACTCAAGTCAATCAACATATCAAATTACAATATGGGGACAAATAATCACCCAAA